CCTTCGGGTCGGCAATTGCTACCTTTGCTGAGCTTCCTCCGGGCTCATACACTTGACTACGCCCGGACTAGGACGAAGCCTTTCCGCTGAACGACTACTAATTGCTACTCGTCCTGTGGCCCTTCTTCTGCCGGCACAAATACAGGGGAGTACCATACTCGGAAGCGGAATACCTAAAGTCTTAAGGCCCGTTACCACGACTGTATTAAATTTATGTACCTTTTTGTTTAATTGAAATTTTTAATTGTAATTTTTTTTATTATTATAATTAATTCTATTTTTCGGATTTCTTGGTTTAATTTTCTACCCTCATAGGGAAAATAAAACTACGGAATCGAACCCGGTACAATCTTTAAAATGGAATGAAACTTGCTTACAAGATTTATCCACTGTAAAGATTGAGAAATAAATAAAAATAATAGCAAAAACAGAATGTGAGACTTGAAATCGGGCATGCGAAATATGCTGTCGTTATTGGGAACAGATTCCTAAGTCAAAACGTAGCGCTGAAGCCAGCGGACGACAACGGCGGCGGCAGCTTTAGCCAGCGCGTGATCGTGTTTAGTCCCGCAACGTCACTTCCACTAGTAAAATTCTAGACTGTCTAGAAATCGTTCGGCGTCGCTCTCTGCGCATCAATACAAACGAGGTTTGTTGTTTATCGACAATAACAAAACAGACGCTCTAATAAATTGTTTGGAGCCACATTTAGTTCGGAATGTGGCATAATGTTGTCATTGCCAATACACTCGCAAGAGCCTCTCTCCTTTTTACATTCCGGCGAGAGAAAAATGTCAACACACGTGCACGGGTCACAAACGCGGTAGAGGGGTCGAGGGCGGGGGCGCTACACACGCAGTCCCTTCGAAGCCCATTCAAGCCTGTCTGCTCCTGACATAAGGAGACGATTTGTCTTCCCCTTACTTGCACAAAAAGTAACCGACTTTTTCTTGTGCTAACTTTCAGCCATCAATTTACTGGACGAAAATCTCCTTTGAATGAATTAATGAAAACTTATTTCTTTACTATTTTCTTTACTGGACATGGACTAATAGGCCTGATAATACTCGTAAATGCATTTGAATTAATTATAAGAAGAAATTAGAAAGAAGAATTAATTATTTTGAAATTTACTTGCAGAAGTGATTTTTTAAATTTATTCTCAGGTTATAAAGATCCATAAATACGTACCTTACAGAATAACATATATAATAATGTAATAAAACACTATTTATCGCCAAATCCAACGTCGCTGTCGGCAAGATTATAATAAACGATGATTGTAATGAGCTTATCCATAATATATCTCAAACTCTAACAACATGCAACAAAAAAACGAAACCTTTTATCAAAAAGTAAAAGAATTAACTGGAGTGCGTAAACTGAGGCCCTGTGCTATTGAAGACAAAATGGGATGTCTACTTGCAGATGTGGTCCACGTAGTGAAACGAGGAGAAGCTATTGCACATTATTATATAGTACTGAGGAGCCTGTAAATCTTAATATTACATGGTCGACAAAAGAGCTGGAGATCCTGCTGTCGAAGATTGAACATGCCATCAAAACTCTTAACTATAAGAAATCACATGGTAAAGGATAGTATCACAGCCGAAATATTTAAAAACGTAGGTCAAAGGGGAACAACGGCCCTCGCCAAAATGTGCAACACCAGCTGGAATACTGGTATATGGCCAAAAGACTGGACAGAAACTAGAGCGGGGTTATGAGTGTGTGCAAAAAAAGAAACGGTGTTTATCCCTCTACACAAAAAAGGCTCTTCCAAAGAATGTGGAAGTTACAGGACTATAGCATTAATACCACACGCAAGATACGGGGAGTGTACCATCCAGGAGCTGCTCCCGGAACTGGCCGATCGGAGGGCCTCCTCCCACCCCGCCTTTTTTTTGCTCTAACCTAACCTAACCGAACATAATCGTGTCTTTGCGATAAACATTCAACATATCCTGAAAGAACAACTGTTTCGTTATAATTCGGTTTTCGGTGTAGTAAAAATTCGAACAAACTTATTTCGTACAAAAAAAATTTTCGAGTTTGTGATAGGTTACCCGGAAAAACGAACGGCGGGGCGCGGAGAATCGCACGCAGCGGTTGGTGACGCATCCATATGATTAAGACTCGAAACTGCCTATAGATGCGTTTTACGCCCCGCAACAGTATTCACGTTGCAAGCCTCCGGTCACCTACTTACTGAATCTGCACTCAGTAATACAACTAGAGCACGTAATTTATTGGTGGTGTCATCCGAGGCCTCCAATTTACAGTGAACTTCAGCAAGTCTTGCTTTTAAGGACGTGATATCCTTCAGCAGCCTGGTGACGTCGATGTTGTCGAATGTGACAGAGGGCAGCTTGTGCAGCTCCTTCACCACGATAGCAGGTACGTCGTCTGGGTCGGTCTCCTTTAACGACGTGATCCTGGACACTCTACTCTTCTCCATCCCTCCGGTGAAATGGTATCTGCTCGGCCTTGACAAGCATGCGGAAAAGCAGCGATACTGACCTCGTCCATAGTGTAGATGGCGTGTTGAATGAACGTAGTTGTTGCGACGTAGTTGCTGGGAACCCATAGTAAATTCCCTTGACAATAGACTCATAGTTAATAGGAATATGAGAACCTACAATGATTCCAGTCTAACCTAATTTTCAAAATTATCCAATTTTGGAAATGTTCATAATAAAAATATGTATGCGATCATTGACTTATGGACGTCGGGTCCGCGCTAAAAAGTGTCCGAACCTATAGGGCGTTAAAATCGTATACAGAGCGTCATTCACGCTTTAGTCTTCGTTTGTTCGACCGACAGCGAAGCAAGCAAAATTAGACAGTACTGCGATGACATTACAATTTAAATTCAACGTTTTAGCTTTTTCATATTCCTTTACATGTCACAACGTTTAAATAGGTTGACTTGGAACATTTTTTTCGTGGTTTTTGTATTAGACCCGTCGTTCATTTATTTGTAAGTCAATGTATGCGATGCAAACTGGGCACCAGCCGCCAATATCTTATGTTATGCCGTGTAAATGCAGTGTTGGAGACTCTTAATTTACATGTGTCGAAACAAAGATTTCTGATATTTGCAAATTAAGTTTTATCCTCCGTTCATTTGAAACCACGATAAAGACTTTAGTGTCTCGTGACCGAAATTAGTTTTTTCTATATTATTATCTACTCCACCATTTTTGGATCGAATTTTGACGTCAGTCGCCGGGAACAATAAAAATACCCAGCTCTGATCTAGGCTAAGAAATGTTTCTTTTTTCGAAATCTACTCAGCTCTCTGCTCGCCGTGCAGCTTTCGCCTTGACAACGTTTCGGGCCACAAAAGGATCTGATTCTGACGAACTGCAAGCTTATTGAAGTACCAATAGTCAATCACAAAATTCGAGCATCACTAATAGAAAACGAAGCTAAACGCGACAAGGGAATTGAAAATATGTAAATACCCATCTAGTACGACTTGTCGTCTCTCGGTCCAGTGTGCACTAAACTTGTGTCTTCATATTTTAAAAAACCGGGACTTTTTAAAGCATCGATGGCTATTGCTCGTACCTTATGGGACATACAACGTGTTACGGGGGTCTTCTAAATAAAAGAAGGAACTACCCTTGTAAACAAATTTATTTGAGCACGGTTTGTTTTAAACCCAACGGTTATTCACTGTACTTTTTGCCTTCCTACGACCAGCAGTTTATACTCCCCTGGCTGTTCCGCCGAAGTAACGTCCGGGGTTGAATGAACCGGAACAGGACCGGATCCTTCCACCGAAATGAAGTCCGGGGGTGCGGTGACAGCGTCCGCTGAATAGACGTCCGGGGTACGGTGTCGTTCTCTGGGCTCAGGCCAGCCGACGCGGAGAATGGTAATAAGGTACCGGGAACCTCGGACCCAAACAAGTGGGTTTAAAAACACTAAAGATTTAATTATTTTAAATTACAAAAAAATGTACTTCGCGGAGACCACATACGAAAACGCTATTATTAAGGAAATGCGCGTGCGTCTCTCGCTGAGATAGATTTCAGAGTGCGCCGTCGTCCAAGCGGTAGCGGGACAAACGGCTTGCCTGATACCCCGCAAAGGGGGAGATGAACCGAACCAGATGTCGCCTATAAAAAATGGCTCGCGTGCATTCCTGACTCGATATCCCTAACTATACGTTCCACTGCTGGACACGGGACTCTTCTGAATACATACATACATACACCTCACAATAAATAAAACAAATAAAATATTATTAATTTACATCGTTACAAACGCATGGATTCGATTTTACGCTGGTTTTTTTAATCTGTGAACAGTAGCAATACGTAGGTACTGAATCACTCACACTTACTTACTTACTGAACTGGATCAGTTACAGATTACTAAAATATATGAAATATTTTTTGGCAACAATTTGGCGGAAACTATGAACAAGTTCTGGGCAACTATAAAATCCATTACCACTTTTAAGATTACTGAAGCTCAAAAGCTCACCACGTCACCAATCACACCGTCCTACCCAAACTACTTCATATCATATCTCATTACAAATATTTAAAGACGGATTGTTTTTTTCAATTATTATAATCCACGTTTCGCACAGCGCAATAAATAATAAATGAAAACGAGTCCTACCACAGTGAAGGTTTCCAGTGCTACCCGTATTAGATTTTTCGTAATCTTTTCTCCAAAATGAAGCGCGAATCGGCGAATCTATATTCTACACTACAGGTCTGTGGACGCTAATGTCTTCGAACAAGCTCTTCAAGTTATTGTTGTTGTTATATTGTTATATGTTATATGCTATAACATAACAATCTTGTGAATATTTGCTTGCTCCTTTTTTAAGGCTGATTAGGATTCAGTTTTCCAATTTAATTTCGCCACCAACATGTACTTACCCTATTTAAAGCGAATAAATTATATTTTATTTATTTTTGAATACTCTCAAATAGATGTGAGGAGTAGATTCACGAACGAATGTTTTGTTGTCACAGGGGTGGTGCGCGTGATGGCGCATGGAGGGCCTGCGGCGGGCTCGCAGCTGCGTGGCGCTGGCGCTGCTGGTGGCGCTGCCGCCGCCCGCCGCCTCCGGCCCGCGCTACAGCAGCCGCATTGTGCACACCGGGAACGGTAACATTACGACTAGCTGTTGCTAGCGACATAGCTTTTGCAGTCTTACAAATATAATGTCAGTGTTTACCTTCGATCCGACACTGGTTCGGATCTGGGTCGATGCTTTGTAGTTCATACACGTCTGCTTGTGCGCAGGAGCGATACGAGGCATTATCGTGGAGCCAGCGTCACGGCGCTTGGAGCCGGTGGAGGCGTTCCTGGGCGTGCCGTTCGCTGGCCGGCCGGAGCGGCTCGGCCCGCCGCCGCCTGCGCCTCCCTGGCCCGGCACGCGTCTCGCCGACGCCTTCGCGCCTGTCTGCCCACAGCGCTATCCAGACATATCCAACAAGTGAGATCTTTCTTCACTTTTGTGACTTTCTTTACTTACATTGCTCATGTCGTTGAGTTCTAGTAGCAGTACAGCTCCTTGTGAAAGAGTTCGTTCAGGGAAGTACTGCCACCCAACTTATTTCTGCCGCCAAGCAGTAATGTGAGCTTTACTGCTTTCCGGTTTTGAAGGGTAAGTGTGCTGGTGAAACTACAGGCATATGGGACTTGTCAACGTATGTCTCAGGGTGACGCGGGCGCAGTGGCAGTATCCTTCAGATCTCTGCGATTTACAGCTCTGAGTGGCACTGCAACTGTTATGGACAGGCGTGTAGTTTACACTCAGGCGCACGACTTGTTCGTCCCGTCACTAGATGTTATAAAAATATTTATTTTTATTCCCCGCCCAAAAACCAACTTTTCCGTCAGTTGTGCAAAGGTTATTTGGAAGAAATCCCTTTAAGGAATAAGCTCGCTAAAGCGAGCGAGTAAAAAACACCAATATTTTAAATTGTTTCTTAAAATTTGTAATTTACTTTGCACCACAATAAAGTGTTTACGCACATACATACAATTTCTCGAGTGTACTGAACGAGTTTGCAAACATGTCAACCGCAACAAGTATACCGTTTTTTATATTTGTTGTTTAATTACAGTTCCAAATAAAACATTCACTTAGTAATACTATAACTGTTATGGACAGGCACACTTCGTTCGTCCCGTCACTTGGTATAGTAAAAAAGGTGTAGGTGCCTAACTAATCAATACAGTGTACATGGACTGTGTTCGTCAGTTACTTTCAAAATTCAATCGACGGAGTGCGGACTCTACTGCGGATAGCGCCCGACAATGCGACACTACACAAATTTTCATATCAAGTGATTCTTCGTCTAATAATTTGACCACTCACTGAGAAAGACTTTAGGCGCACAATCAGATTGAAGAGTCCATTTGGTGCACAGGAGTGCAGCCCTGTCGAAGATGCCGCTGGGCCTGTACAACGAGCTGAAAGCCACGTTGCCCTTGCTGGCCAACCAGAGCGAGGACTGTCTGTATCTCAACATTTACGTGCCCGGTAGCGGTAAGTCGCGCACGAACATTGCTTTGAGTCCACGTCCACTGTTGAGCATATTGGCACTTACATCTATGGAGTTGTCCGCATAGGCGCGCGCGGCATGGAAGCGCCCTACGGTGTGGTGGTGTGGGCGGGCGGTCCGGCGCACGAATGGGGCGCCGCCAGCGCACTCGACGGCGCCGTGCTGGCGGCGCGGGCGCACCTGCTCGTCGTCACTATCAACTATAGGCTAGGATTATTAGGTCGGTAGACCCGCTTCAAGTGACGTAACGGAGATCGACAAAAGATAAAAGGGCAGTAAACGTAACGGGTGCGGGGGCAGGTTATTTAACGACGGGGGCGGCCGACGACCCCGCGGCCGCGGCGGGCGGCGCGGCGCTGCTGGACCTGGCCGCGGCGCTCAGCTGGCTGCGGCGCAACGTGGCGGCGTTCGGCGGCGACCCGCGCCGCGTCACGCTGGCCGGCCACGCCGCCGGCGCCGCGCTGGCCAACGCACTGCTCATGACTCCGCACGCCAAGGGTACGCGGCCTTCCGCTCCGCTGGCGTCGGGACGGTCCGATGCGAATGGAACTCCTCCAGGGCTGGCGTCTCGCGTGCTCCTGCTGAGCGGCTCGGCGCTCGGTCCCTCCGCGCTGGCGCCGGACGCGGCGCTGGCCCGCGAGCACACGGCGCAGGCGCTGCGCTGCGCGCGCGACTCCTCCGCCGAGGAGCACTGGTGGGTGTCGCCGGCTCGCCGCGTGCGGTCTGCTCGCTCGCGCCTCGCAGACGACTCTCGGTCTACGCCAGTGCTGCCTCCGCAGGCTGCTGGCGTGCATCCGAGCGCGGCCGCTGGCGGCGCTGCTGGCCGTGGAAGCGCCACGCGCGCGCTTCCTGGCGGGTTGGGCCCCCAGCGTCCCGCTCTCCCCTGCAGGGGGAGCCCCCCTCTCGCCCACACGCGCCCTGCACGCCAGCGACGCCTTCCTGGACTGCGCGCTCGCCGTCGTCGTTACCACCACCGAGAGCTATCAGTACTTCAACGAGGAGGACATTCACCACGGCTTCGAGGAGGAACACAGGTGAGTCATTAGGGAACGTTTCTCCCAATAATTCTGTATAAGTCTGTCCGTATAACCGTACTTTTTTAACTACGCCGTCGCGTCAGGAACCGGATTCTGCGCACGTACGTGCGCAATGTGTATCGGTATCACCGGAACGAGATCTTTGCGGCGGTGCGCAACGAGTACACCGATTGGGAAAAGCCTATTCAGCATCCGATCAACATCCGCGACGCGACACTGGAGTCATTGAGCGACGCGACTGCGGCGGCGCCGGCCCTGCGTGTCGTCCAACTGCATGCGCGACGCGGTGCGCGAACTTACTTTGCACACTTCGCACATCAGAATAAGGATGCTGACTACCCACAGGTAAATCTACATATATCCATTGCAGGGTCCGCAATAGCCGACGCAGTAATTTCAAATCTAAATTCAGCACCTAGTAAAGTAACCGAATATATTCACGGTTTAATTACAGTTGTCATTACAAGAGGCAAGCAGGTTAATAACCCCTTGAATATTCTATAACGCTGTTGCTGTGTCATTTTGCACCCACGGGGCCCTCGACCGACCGACCGACTTTTTATTACAGGATAACAGAACCAAAGAGAATACTGTTTACTGTATCTCAGTTATCAGTCTTGATGATATTCGTAATTGTATTTTATGGTCGTATGTTAGGTCTTATGCATGGCGAAATAATAACACAATGATATTCCACGTGGAAACCGTATAATTTTGGCTCCAATTAATTACATTTTTGATTATACAAGTTATGCGGACGGCGGTGAGGGAACGACTGGAAGCGCGCGGCGCGCGTACCAATACTAAACTTGAAAATGATTATAATGCTAGATGTGTCCCTACAGTCTCGTAAAAAGCATACTTATAAACCTTGTTAATCGTTTTGAGGGAGAATTAGGCACTGGTTACTGAAAGAGTAGTAATGTGTAACTGAATACTGGAAGAAATGTCGTACGCAGCGCCTGGGCAGCGTGACGGGCGAGGCGCTGCCGTATTTCCTGGGTCTGCCGCTGGTGGGCGGCGCGCGCAATTACTCGCGTGCGGACATGGCCGTGGCCGAGGCGTGTGTGGCGCTGCTGGCGGCCTTCGCCAAGACCGGCGAACCGGCGCCGGCGGCCGCGGCGCGCGCCGACGACCGCCACGCAGACAACGTCGCCTGGCCGCGCTACGAGCTCAATACGCAGCAGTACCTCAGCATAGGTGAGAATTATTACCACTCACTTACTTTAGTGGCAACTACATGGGGCCTAATGGGCACCCTAATAGTGCTCTCAATCGAAAGGTGAAACGAGCACTTAAGTGCACGAATATTTGCGCAGGATCGAAGTTGCGAGTGAAGAGCCACTACCGCGGGCACAAGTTGGCGCTGTGGCTGCATCTGATCCCGCAATTGCATCGCCCCGGTGCCGCGCCCAGACACCACCAGTTCCGCGCGACGCACCCTGACATGTTCGCAGGTCAGTCGCCTCTGTTGCTCCTTTTACCCAACACCGCACACCATTGATGATTAAACTTTACAGCATTGATTGCTTTTTTTAAATGTACAGAAAGTTGCTTTGTCGCTTGTGCTTTGTCGAGGTCACGTATATCCCCTTTTATTGTGAAATGTTATGGAGACGACATATGGTGTTAAAAGTCTGAAATTTATATATTATGTACAGATCTAGATTTAACATTTAATATTCGTTTTTATGTGCATAACTTCGACGATTTTTTTTTATTGAGGGACAAACACTTACACATATGAGAAAAAAATATATTTTGGAAATTAACAATATCTAAACCTTTACCCAGCTCCCTAAATATACTTAAAACAAACCAAAAAGATAAATCGGCAAACTGATACAACAATGAAACTAAAAAACATAACCGCAAAGTGGTCGTGTCCTCCGTAGAGTAATATTATTCTGTGATCGTGTTACGCAACAAATATATACCGAAGCAGCACACTCATATCTAAATATATACTATAATATGTCTAATAGAATTTAATTCGATTGAATATTTTAAGAGTTCAAATTCCTTCAAGATATCTCGAAGAAGGTTTCTAGATAATTTGAAGTAAAAGTGGGCACAACTTTATTAGTAGATCACAAGAGTGCTTTGAGAAACTATCTGTAGGTAGTGTTAAGAGTGATTCTTATCTTTTTCTCAAGTACCCCTTCTAGAATGCTACAAGACCATTTGTAGAATGTAGAGTTTTACCATTTGTACAATGTAGAGTTTTTATTTAGTCTCGTAGACAGTATTTAGATAATTTATAGTCTATGATAGTTTTCTTAGTAATGCTATTTTAAAACCAAAATACTAAAGCGTTACAAACATAGGACGCAATTCTCTTAACACTAATAGATTTCAAGATTAATGGCTTACAAAATATAAACTGTCAAAATTGCAACATGGCAAAATTATATATAATATGTCTGACTTTCTCGCGTAATGTTTAATCGGTTAGAAAGCGCAAATTGACGTGCGATTTTAAACATATTGTGAAAAGTGATGTAAAACCCGCCATAAAAGTAATGCGTTCGCTAAATTTCAAATATTTATGTATGAAATATAAACTTAATAAAAATACAGGTATCGATTTTCGGTTTTAAATATTTATAGAAAGCTTAAATATACAAAATAACTCACAAAACAAACCATTTCCAAGAAGAAGTTCTAGGCTTCTTCAAGCTAATTTCAACTTAGATTTACTTTTTATAAAGAAAGAGATTTTTTTCGGCTACTTCATAGTCATTCTTTAAAAATAAAAATGGCGATAAGAATTTAAAGCTTTTTTCAAAACACAGTTGGGAGTATTTTGCCTATAGCTTTATCTATAGAAATACTTTAGAATAAGAAAAGATTTTTACTTGCTTTAGTGCAGTTGATGTTGTAGAAGAACTTTCACTCCTATGAAGTTTTTATCATTGTCTACAAAACGCGATGTTTCTAAGCGATTTTTTCTTTTGACAGTATTACAAAACCTTTATAAAGTTAAAAATAGTGAGCGTATTATGCAATAAAAAACTTTTCATAACACTAGGTCAAAAAAATAATTGAAAAAAATCCAATTTGTCGAAAATAAACGTTATTCTGTATAATTATATGGAATGTGTTATATATGACTAGAAAGGTGGATAAATTCCCTATCATATAAATATAAGAAATATTTTAATGACATACCTAAGTTATGTTGGAAGAAATAAAATTTTCATTAAAAAATTGAGGTTATTTCTTCACGCCAACCACATTTTCCACAATGATTTCACTGTATTCTATTGATAGATGGCACAATACACATACACAACATTGAAGTACAGTAGTTTCCGCGCTAATTACGTAGGCCGCTGCCGGAGGACTCAAAAAAACCAAAATTTTACAAACTAATTTAATTAAAAATAAATGCAATTACAAATTAATTATTACTAAGAGCTAATTGACCCGACCGAGGTGTGTATCGAAGTGCCGGTGCGCGGCGTTACGTTGGCCTGGTGGACTCGGCACGAGGCGCTGCGTCTGCAGTTTACTCTATTGCATGATTTCTAAAATATTGGTGCCGTGTGCAATATAGTCTTGGTCAGCAAGTTGCCTTTAGGGTTGACACATAACACGCTCCTTTCAATTACTTTGTCATTTCACGACACGGAATTACTTCACAATGTTTATTTATTTGTCAATGATGACCGGCCCGAGCGCGAATTACAACTATTGTATCCAGCATTGCCAATTTATGGGAAATTCCCCAAATTGTGGGGAGTTTCAACTAGATTGGGGATTTTGTGGGGATTGGCGCTATGTGACGAAAATGTGAGGATTCTAACATTTTATAATTTTGTATAATCTATCAATTGCTGATGCATCGCAAGTTTGATCGTTACTGTTGGATACACTGTGATGGACTATATCGACGTGTTTTTCTACATCGCACATCACTCGTATTATTATCAAGCAGCTTAAATAGAATTATTATTAGAGCACTTGGTTCTGAATTGTAAAATTACCAGTCGGTGCGTGTTGAGTTCGCGATTCTTTTTCCCCGCTTAGGCCGGTCCCCGGTATGAAGCAACACGAAATCACCTATTGATAAACAAAGCCGAGCAGTTGGTACTTCCACACATTACCAATCGTCAACTTTAAATATTAAATATAGGTCGAAACTCATTGATTATTTCTAACGTTAACATAGTGTCACCAAATGCACAACAAATAATCAATTTACTTAATTATGTAAGGCAAAGAAAATTTTTTTTTGTTCAGTCTGATTACAGATTAATGTTGAATCTAATTAATATTATAATTAATATAACTGCCTCCGTGGCCGAACGGTTACCATGCCGGATTGCCATGAAGAGGTCCCAGGTTCGATTCGCGGGTCGGGAGAAATATTTGTATGGCCTACATTTATTTCTCTCGTGAGTTTGAGCGTAATTTGTGTTTGTCTACGTGTGTGTTCAATGGCACCCGCGACACAGAGTTTCCCTAGCGCGGGGCTATGTTGAGTGTGTACACTATTATTGTTATTATTAAAATAAATAAACGATTTAAGGTCATCTAATTTTATAATTAGTTTTACTTTTTACTTTCTGTTTGCGTTCACAGCAAACGTAATAGATTATTACATTTTGAGTTTCTTAATTGTTTTTTATATTTCTAAGTGATGTATTTCTAATAAATAATGATAATTCGAGATGTGGGGAATTTGTGGGGAACATGAAGTTTGCTCTACCCAAATTTGAGGATTTTAACCGTGATTTTTGGAGATTTTGAACAATTGGCATTGGCAACGCTGATTGTATCGAATGATATGACTTAATATCCAAGGTTCACCACCTCCACTAGATCTTTTAATGTTCTTTACTTTATCCATTTCGCATGAACTCTTACAACGTCCAATAGAATAAAAACCCTAATTGTAGTATTTTTTTTAATAAAATCTACTGAAGACGCGTTATAACGTGTTTGTCAATATGTACAAACACTACAGAATGCCTATAAATTAATTATATCTAGAATAAACATAAGAACACTAGTTTTTAGAGTATTAATGGACTTTATTAAGAAGGTGTTAAAATTTTGACTTGAGTGAAATAAGTATATAAGAACAATTTCTTTTTTCTAAAACCATTTATAGAAAACTATTATCTAAATCAATACCATATTAAGGGTCGTATTCTAGAACTCTACTCAATGCTCAAGTCAGGATTGCAATTGAAACACAAGCACTGGAAATACGACCCTAACGGCAAGGACTTGAGTATGATTTCGAGTGCTTTAAACCATACTCAAATCCTAACTTGAGCATTGAGTAGAGTTCTAGAATACGACCCTCAGACTGTTTATAACAGTTTTAAGGCGTATAAAGGTGCTCCTTGTGTATGTATCGAGTCTAAATGAACGAAAGAGGTGTTAAAAAAGAAGTAACGATTGTCCAATCCTTCACTGGACCAACACGCAGTATTATCATCCAGTATTTTTGTGTTTTATACAATTTAAAGACTAGTCGTGCTTTGACGGCGCGTGAGAACCCCGACTGCGACTGCAACTACATACTATTTATTTTTCATGAGATTTTCTAGCTTCGAGTCGAGCGAATCAACAATGATATAGAGGAGTGAAACAAACACAGGAGCGCAGGGAAAAAGCCGAAGGCTATTTGACAAGGAAAGGAGTAACGAAATGGCACGAAGGAGACACCTATAATAATCGAAGACAGGCGCGCTTTTAAAGGCGCGCTCGCATTTCCTGCCACTAATTGTATTCGTGCGGCGGCTCGGGTCGCCGTAATGGCGCGCGAGGCCGCGGCCACGTGAACAATGCGCGCATATTGTGAGCGCGGTAATTGCACCACATTGCCACCACGCTCTGATTTACCCCCTCCGCCGCCCCTGCCGTTCACCACTAACAAACTACGCCGTTACAAACCTATTGTTCGATGCCTCAATATTAGCGAGTGACGGCAAATAATGCTGCCGACTTTAAAGCGTGAAACACACAGAGAGCGGGTGCGGGTCGGGCCCGCGGCGGGCCTGATTCCGTGTATTTATTATATATAGTATATTTACAGACGACAACACACGTTTCACGGTTAAGCGGGACAACGCGTGTTTTCCTCTGTTCAATACCATCACCCATCAAAGTCAAAGTCAAAGATTATTTATTCCATAGGTAAAATAAATTTACACTTGAAAACGTCACATTTAAGCTACTGCTCGTTCACTACGCTGACCTCCCTGAGAAGAACGAGCAAGGAACTCTAGGGATTGCTCTTTTCAAATAAACTTAAATTCTATGGAATACACTTTGAATCAAATTTGTGTGGATTCTGGAGCCATGTCGTCTTTCCATACATCTTTATCTAACACGTAGTCTTCAATTTTGTCATATGGTTTTTCGATCAAAATATTTTTAATGTAGTTTTTAAACTTAGGAAATGATAAACTTAATATATGCTCCGGAATCTTATTGTAAAAACGTATACAGTTCCCCATAAAAGAGTTGCTTACCTTGGTTAAACGAAATCGTGGTACCATGAGTTTGGACTTAGCTCTAAGGTTAATATTATGGATATCTTCTTTCTTATTGAAA